AGGGCGTTACAACCTGGTATCAGAGCGTACCGGGTTTGAATACTTTGGGTACGTGGGAAGTGATTAGTATCACAATGGGTTCGTCTCGTTTGTTAGAGACTTAGTATAATGTTATATGCTTACATGATAACATGTTTACGTGACTATGTGGGTATGGAATGTAGTTCTTTGGATGTTGATTGGACCTTTGAGTTTCTAGTAGTCTTGTTGGAAAGGCACTTGATCAATGCTGCTTCCAACCGGAACTATAGTAACGCTTCGGGACTATCATCATCCAGGAATGAAATTCGTAGGTGCTTATGTGATTATGTGCTTATGTGGAATGAATTATTGTTGTCCAATGCATTAGGATGCGAGTGTTTAGCTTCGGCACATTTATTAATGTGCTCACGTCTTTGTTTCCTTTATTAGGATGTCAGGACGAGGACGAGGACGCGGTAGGCGTGGTAGGCCGGGTAGGAAAGAGGTGTCTGTGCCAGAGGAGATTCCGGCAGTTCAGGAGGGAATTGGCCAGGCCAATGTGGCCGAGCCAGTAGGCCAGCAGGCTATGGGCTTGGCCTTGGCATGGCATGCTTCTGTCCTTGGCCATGGCAGGGCATGCTGCTGGCTTTAGCTGGGCTCTCTTGGCCTTGGCATGGCATGCTGGTGGACTTGGCCTTGGCATGCTTAGAGCTGGGAATCAGGCAGCTGAGACAGGGCCTTCCTTCTTGAAGAGGGAGTTCTTTCGGTCTAATCCGGATGAATTTGTGGGTGATCCTAAAGAGCCGCTTAAGGCAGATGAATGGCTCGAACAGACAACGAAGACGGTTTAGATGCTTGGCATCGAAGACGAGGGGTTGAAGGTGACCTTGGCATCATTCCAGTTGAAAGGGGATGCGGGTCAGTGGTGGAAGTTCACTAAGGGTCGTATAGGAGCTACATGGGAGGTTTTTGTGAATGCTTTCCAGGAGAAGTTCTTATCTCCAGCAGTTAGGGAGAAGCTGAGAGACCAGTTCTGCCAGCTTAAGCAGTCGAGTTCTTCAGTGGCCGAGTTTGAGGCTGCATTTACTAGCTTGTCCAGGTTTGCACCTGAGTTGGTGGCGTCTGAGGAACGCCGTTGTATCGAGTTTGAGAAGAAGTTGAGGCGTGGTCTCAAGCTGCGAGTTGGGGGAACTATGATTCGGGATTATGGCTGTATGGTTGATGCTGCAGCCTATATGGAAATCATGATGCAGGAGGAGGAGGAAGGACAGAAGGGCTCCAAGAAGAGTCAGGATGGTCAGAGTGATGGTAGGAGACAGAAGGGTTTTAATCCTCAGCAGTCTCAAGGTAGTTTTTCTAGATCGACTTTTCCTGTGCCGAGTGCTAGTTCAGGGAAGGGCAGTCAGGGAGACATCACTTGCTTCAAGTGTGGTCAGTTGGGCCACAAGTCTCTAGTTTGTCCTTAGAGGGGAGGAGTGCAGAGAGCAGCATCATCTTCGGCTCGATCTCAGAGCCAGAGTCAGGGTAGAGGCCAGCCACTCTCGTGTTATCAGTGTGGTCAGCCAGGGCATATGAAGAGGTATTGCCCGCAGTTGGGTGGCACACCTGGTGCATCTAGTTTGAGGCAGATTCAGGGTCAGCAGCTAGCTCAGTCGGGTCAGGTCTTGAGGGCCAATCAGGGGGCTTCATCGTCTCAGTCGGTGCAGCAATCTTATGCTCCTAGGGGTGAGCAGGTTGATCAGAGGTCGTCTGGGCGCGTGTACGCTGTTACCGCGCAGGATCTTGTACCGACTCCATCAGTTGTGAGAGGTACCTTCTTGTTTTGCAACTCGGTTGCTAATGTTTTGATTGATACGGGTGCATCTCATTCCTTTGTGTCTGCTGCATTTGCATCTGTTTTAAAGTTGGAGTTAGCACAGCTAGCATCTCCTATTTGTGTAGTGTCACCTCTTGGGGGTGAATTGATTTTGAAACAAGGCGTTGGGGGTTGTGATATAGAGGTTGATTATCATAGAATCCCATTTTCCTTTGTAGTTATGCCTATGAGGGGTTTTGATGTTATTTTGGGTATGGACTGGTTATCGTCATACCGGGCAGTTATTGATTGCTACCGCTAGAGGGTCACATGTTGTACCGTGAGCGGGGAGTGTTTTCATTTTCTGGGGGACCGGGTTGGTAGTGTTTTGCCACCGGGGTATGATCTACGAGGGCGGAGTGAGCTTAGTGGTCTACTTGCTAGCTTTGAGAGTAGTGAGTGTAATGAGACCCAGACTGTGTTGCCAAGTGTAGTTTGTGAGTACTCCGACGTCTTTCCCGAGGACCTTGTTGGTTTGCCACCTCGCAGAGAGATTGAGTTCTCTATTGACTTAGTGCCCGGCACGGCGCCGATTTCTATGGCACCTTATCATTTTGCCCCAGCTGAGTTAGTTGGGTTGAAGATCCAACTCCAGGAGTTGCTAGATAAGGGCTTTGTAAGTCCTAGTGTTTCGCCATGGGGAGCACCAGCCCTCTTTGTTAAAAAGAAAGGTGGTGCTTTGAGACTTTGTATAGATTACCTGAAATTAAATCGGGCTACGGTTAAGAATAAGTACCCTATGCCTCGTATAGATGATCTGTTCGATCAGTTGAAGGGATCCCGTTGTTTCTCGAAGATAGACTTGAGATCGGGTTATCATCAGTTGAGAGTCAGGGAGGAGGATATTCCGAAGACGGCATTCCGTACGCGGTATGGCATTTTTTCATCTCCTATAGTTTTGAGAAGAATAAAAAGAAATGACCAAAGTAATATTTGGTCATGTTTGGGTTACATTCTAAAACGAAAATAAATTTTATCACCAAATTTTAAAAATTAATTATTGAAAACTCCATACTAAACAAGA